CTTTTGTCTGTTAAGTTTTGATTTTAACCACTTATGTAGTCTATATTGGGTAAATTGTCTTGGCTGTTTCCAGTAGAAGTTCATTATGTCAAAAGTACCACATAAATGTAATAGGGCGGAGTGTTACTTTTGGTAGATGATGGAATACAGTGTAATAACTGTGAAAAATGGTATCATAAGATGTGTACTGGATTACGTCCAGCTGCATACAAACGCTGTACTGCTAGTAAAGTTAGGTAGTCTGGGAATCAATAAAGTGGTTACCGACTGGATTCAAGACTTTCTAAAGGACAGAAGACAAAGAGTACGAGTTAACGGGGTTTTATCAACATGGGAATCGGTTAAGAGTGGCGTTCCTCAGGGTACAATTCTAGGCCCACTTCTTTTCCTGATTTATGTTAATGAGATTCCATCGGTAGTTAAGTCATCCTGCTTACTGTTTGCTGATGACATCAAGATATGGAGGGCTTTGCACGATGACAGTGATCAACTTGCTTTGCAGGAAGATTTAAACTTGTTAAGTGATTGGTGTAAGCACTGGGCCTTGGAGATTAACTTAAGCAAGAGTGTAGTTATGCATGTATCCCATAGTCACGTGCACAATTACTCAATGAATGGCATTACTCTCCCAGTGGTCACTGAGTACAAGGACTTGGGAGTGGTTGTGCAGCATGACTTGAAAACAGCAACAAACTGTAGAACTGCAGCCACTAAGGGTTTTCGAATGTTATGGGCCATACGCAAGGCTTTTGCGAACTTTGACGCTGATATATTTCGTATATTATATCCGACTTATATCAGACCTCATTTGGAATATGGGATCCAGGCAGCGAGCCCGTGTTTCAAATACGAAATTGACTTATTAGAAAGGGTGCAAAGAGTAGGAACTAAGCTAATAAAGGGTTTCTCAACCCTGTCATATGAGGAGAGGTTAAGTCGACTGGGTTTATTTCCACTGTCATACAGACGACTTAGGGGTGACCTAATACTAGCATACCGTATCCTAAGAAATGATTTTGGAGCTAATTTATCTAAATTATTTCTTCCTTCTAGCACCAACCAATTGCGAGGACATCACCTCAAGGTTCAAAAACCACGGTCGAATCGTCTGCGTCTGGAAATCCGTTTTTCGCATCGAATTGTGAACCATTGGAACTCCCTACAGGAATATGTCGTATCAGCGCCATCCGTTGATTCATTCAAGGCGAGATTGGACCTCCTGTATGAAATAAATCGAAAGGATTAACACAGGCATATAGCCTACTATCCTAAATAAATTGTAAACTGTAAACTGTAACGCCAGCGTTGAAAAAGTGAATTTCGTTTCTTCTGCTAACTGCTGCAGATCTCTTCACTGGCTTCAGAGTAGTGAACTGACGTCTTATTCTCATAATTCCATTCTGGTTTTAACCCCGTTATTCTTACAGCCTATAAATGAAGCCTTGATACATTTTTAACATCTGCTTTGTTTATACATATTTAGTCCATTAGGGCTAGAACTCATGTTCTTGAGTTTGAAATGAAGTCTGTCCGATTATTGTATGTTGCTCTGGCAAAAGCTACATGACCCTGTGGATGTCTTCACATTTGTACATACTACTACTAATCATTAAATTGCTAGGTTAGAAGGAGTTTTACGTTTTCATTTGTTTCATCTCGACCATCACAACACATGATGGGTTATCTTCTTGTATCTTCATCCGATTCCAGTTTCACTTGGTCACATTTCACGCATTGGAATTTTAACGTCTCTACCTGAAGACTTGTTCATTACTGTTCGTTCAATTAACTTTGTATTTTATACGATAATGGGAATTATTGAAAGTTTGTCATACTACTTATTTGACTGATGGTGTCCAAGAATCGTTATTCATCCTATCGGAAATACATCATTTGAATGTACCTGCCTCCTTAGTGGTTGATGGTATTTTCACTGAAACTCTAATCCTATACCCTAAACGTCATCCACTAGAATGGTGATCCACAAGAGCCATTTCTCATACAAGATTTGGTAGTTATTGTTTAGTTAAGTTGCTTGGCATTTCCATTGATAGATTATATTAGAGTAACATTCTTGATCATCTGTGATGTATCTGTTCCTGTTACGGGCACTTCAACAGCGCTGTTAGTGCATGATAGCCTTTGAGTTGATGAAATATTTGAAAATGGAATGTGAATACTCAGATTATTGATTTGCATCAATTTTTTTTTTTTTTTCCTTTTGAGATTTGGCCAATTTGCCAAATGGTGGGGGGGGACCGCTGGGGGAGCACCTGGCCCAAAAGCGGAGTGCGTCGGCCGGGAATCGAACCCGGACCATTGAACCACCGACGCCCAAAGTAGAAGCACGAAACTCACATAGATTTGTTGAAATATTACAGAAAATTCTTTTTGTATAGAAAGAGGAGGTCAGGAACACTGACTCTTTTTTTAACCACATTATTATCAAGACGTACACCGTCATACACAGACATGTACACTTCTGATTTGTTTTTGTTTCTGATGGAACAAATGGCATCTGACTCTGTTTCAAGCTTAGTGGTTTCACTATAGCTTGGTTTGTGTTTACAGGGTTGCTTGCCTCACACCCAACTCACTATATTATCGATAAGCCAAGCAATACAAGTAGACTTAACCTCAAAGAAACCAAAATCAAAACAGATAAGTAAATCAGGTAGCTCAAAACAATTGCCTGCAGTGAGTACAGCTTAGGCAAAAATTCATTTTACTTCTTTTCCTTATTTTCAAATATGATTTTGTAGGGATTTTGTTTGATTGGTTGGAGGATTTCATCATTAGCTGACATCATTTTGAGAACCATTGGAAACCTGCAGGGAGTACTGGACAGCCAAATGTTTCGTCCCCGTTCGGGACTATCTCCAGTACGCAACCACTGACACGGTACGAGCCCATTATCTTCTGGTTACAAGGCTAGCTAAGTAGAACATTCACCCACTGGGATCATTAAGCCACTGGAAGCCGATCTAGTAGCCAGTACATGAATTCTAACTTCTGCTAATTTACAACATAGCGGAACCACTTTGAAATATCTCCTTCAATGAGTAACTGTCTTCACCTTCAGCCTGCTGTGCCCTAATTTTGACGGCATCAGATTAGCCTTCAAGCAGGGATTTCATCAGTAGCTGGTATCACTATCAGAACTATTAGAAAACCTGCCAGGGCGTACTGAAGAGCTGATATATCCTAGTTAGGGAACACTGATGGGTGCGCGCTGATGAAGAGCCTCAAACTAGGATGAAACAGCTGCCAAGTGCTCTCAGGTCTTCCAGTGGTTCTCTGACTGATGTCTCCTTATGATAAAATCCTCAAACCAATTATTCTGCTTATGTTTATTAATTTCAAACACAAATTCCTCCAAATGAATTTGAAAAAGTTAATAACAAGAGATGAGTAATGAAACTTGGTTGTTTTATTACAATATTAACATATTTCAGACCATTAGAAATAAAAAAAAGGCAGAACAATAATTCAGAATGAAAATGATACATAGATGAATTAAGACGTTAAGCTGGGATAATATAAAATGCTGTTGTACTTGTAATATATGATGGGATTCAAGCTCCTCGAAGAAAACAAAATGGTGTGCAGTCAGGGTAGCAACAAGATATAGAGGCATGAAAACCACAAGATGACGAAAGTCGTAGAAGATTGTTGATAAACAAATGAAATATGAAAGGCTGTTGTCAAGGGACTGAACCCTAAGTTCCTATCGTAACGAAGACGCTCCGAACCGATAATTACTATGACCTTCTCGATTTTAACTCCAAAAACACCAGTACTTTAAGAAAGTTGTATTGTTTGGCAATTAAAGTCTGGATAAGTACAAGTCTGTAAGCAGATGTTTACAAATAAATACAGTGCACTTTTACTCGTATTCTTTCGTCTTCTTTCAACTTGTACACGACTGAACTATTTGCGCCTTCGAGTTGCCCGCCAATGATGACCAAGGCCAATGAACCAATGTTTAATGTTCAAGTTCATTTACAGCTGTTGTGAATTAGATTAATTTGGTTAGATATCAAATCTGCTGGTCGCAAATTTCGATAAATGATGATGTAGCGAGATACGATTAACCCTGGAAAAATGTACTTTGTGGATGCATTGTTCAGCGGAAGAATGCTCACCAACCACTCACGTGATCCGGGGCTCGAGCCTCGACCGACGCACTCCTAAGTTTCTCTTTAAACCATTAGTAAGGTCGGTAAAGAGGGAAGGCTGGGCTTGAGGGAAGCAAACCAACCAATGAAAAGTGAAACTGCTGCTGCCGAAACTTCAAAGCTGTAGCTCCAAGCCCTATGTTCCAATTGTAAAGCAAAGAAATAAGAGGATTATAAGAACACAATCCCCATAAATCTAAAACTACCTCACTGAAAAAAATGAATACAAATATTCCTTTGATTAGACACTAGTAACTAATATGACGTATACATTACTTTGTTTGGTGCAGAGTGAATTTAATCAGTCAGGTTTGAAATGTAGTCGCCATGCCAGTAGGTAGCTTACCATCACGATGCACTTTGAATCGGCCAGAGGAAGCCCTACCTCACCTGGGTTCCGTGCTAGCTGGCACTCGTCTGAAAAGGCACATGAGTTCCTTCAAGTTAGCTGACTAGTGAGTGCCAACTAGCACGAAACCTTGGTCAGGTGACGTAGGGCTTCCTGCTGCCAGTTACCTCCAACCATCTAACATCAGCAAATATTCCTGTTGATTTTTTGTCATTGCGTTAACATGTGTTCGTCTATTCCCAGTATTTTTCCCTGTGTTTTTCAAGAGATATTAAAATGTATTGAAATACAGTGAGATGCAAGAATAGAAATTATATCCATTTCTAAATGTACTAGTAAAAATAACTGAAGTCGAATTGTGATTAGTTACCTGATTCGTTATTTGATTGGTTGATTGGAAAGTGTATCCCTATCAAAGTAACCAATCAGGTTAAAGGTTCCAACGAATAATATAACAACTAGATGCTGACTTGGGAGTTTCATTCACATAATGATGGATTGACTATAATGGAAAATTATTCTACTTTTGGTGGATTGCTTCTCATTTTCTTAAAATCCAAAACTGGAGAAAAATAATATGTTGAGTAAACTGGAGGATATTATTCTATGTGATAATATACACAGACATTGGCATACAGAGTTGAGTTTTATGAGTAATTATTAAAACAAAATGCTTTAAATATGTCATTAAAACTCTTGATAGCTACTAGAGTACATGACAAAGGAAGTATATTTATAACTCTCACTCTATTGCATTTCATTGTACATACATATACTATGCCTGTGGGTATAACAGAAACGTTGAACACAAGTCATGTTGAATTTGTACGTATAAATTCCAATGGGAATCAAAGTCAACTGGAAAATAGTAATCAGTCTTATGTCACAAATGGAGTCCTCAGTACACAGTTGGGTAAAAATAATTCCAACGAAATATGACAACCAGTCATGCCAGTTATAAAGGTAAATCAAAGATGTTTTTTCTACAAAGTTCTATTGTTGATTGATATATAGGTAATGAGTGCCTGGGTGGTAGAATGCTCATTAATTATATTGGCAGATCGGAGTTCACTCACTTGTTTAAGAGCTCCTAACCTCAACCTTGTCTAGTATTCTAACAGATAGTAAGCCTGGAAACGAGGGTGGTTTGGATGCGAGGTTAGTAAATCTACCCATAAAATCATTGACACCTCTAGTGATGATGCCCCAAGGCTTTTAGCCCTATATTTCACTAAGAAAGTAATAAAGAAATAAGCAACTGACTGTTGTGAGTTCTAGCTAATGAGTTAAGCTCGTATATCCTTAAGGTTTTCCATTCACTTGCTCTCAGATTTATAATTTATAATGGTTTTGTAGGGATTTTGTTTGATTGCGTGGAGGATTTAATCATGAGCTGACATCATTTAGAGAACCACTGGAAAACCTGGGAGTACTGGACAGCTGTTTTGTCCTAATTTGGGACTCTTCAGCAGTAATCAATAAAAATGAGGAGAGTTTGATAATCAATATTATTTTATTTTCATTTTTATTCCCTTCGGCTCCAAGTGGAACACAGGGCTTCAACAACACATCTCCAATTTCTCCTGTTTTCTGCTCTCCTCTTCACCTGGTTACACAATTTCCCATAATCTCTCATCTTCCACCCTAAACACACGATCTCCTCCATGTTACTCTCAGATCGACGACCCACTCGTCTTCTGCTTTGTGAGCAATGTCAGTCGATGGTTGCCTAATCCATCCGTCTCCACTTTCTCCTACATATTTGTTGAGCGATCGGCTCTTGCCTGTTGGTTTGTTGGCAGCCAGAGTTTGTTGTTGCTAATTATTTCTGGCCGATTGGTTGACTAGCCATTTGATCTTCATTATGAAGCCAGCCAGCGAACGTGGCAGATATTGATAAAAGTTTGTAGCGTATTGCAAATGGCTTTTGTGTTTCACTGATCCATATGTAAGAACTAACTGACTCCACATTTGTGTTGGAAATCCATATCTTGTTGTTTATGCTGATGCAGAGAGCAGAATATTTCCAAATTGGTTTCGGTTGATGAAGGTGTATCTTGCCTTTCCGATTGCGTCTGGCTGGCTCTGACGTCTTCATCTGTTCCGACTGTCTGTGGTCGAGACTATATGCTTCCTGTCCAAATAAGTGAAGGAAGGAAGTAATCTCTGTCAAATCTCTTCCGTTGATAGTGATTGGTTCTGGTTGCTCTTGTTGCTATTTGTCGGTAATCTTCATCACCTCCGTCTTCTCTCTGTGTTCACCTGGAATCCTGTATTCACTGCCAGCGTCTTCAGTCAGTTTTGTTGGTTTTCGCCTGTAAACTATGCCCTCATTAAATTACAAATATCTACTTGCCAAGCTGCCTAATATAAAGTTGTTCTTCTGGTGTGTTTTCTTCCTTCAGTCTGATAAGTTGCTTTCATGTTTTCACCAACGGCAATGAAGATCCTGGTGCAATGGGAGGCGATCTCGCCCGACGAAGTCGTGAAGCTACAGAGACTGAGATGGTTAGGACATGTGTTACGTATGCCAAGCCATCGCCTCCCTCGACGAGCTATGTTAGCGGATATAGGGTCAGGCTGGAAAAAAGCTAGCGGCGGTCAAACAAAAACTTGGCCTCACCAGTCAATGAAATCCACAACAGTTGGTCTAAGCCACGTAGGAAGGTGTAGACTTCTAGGCTGGGGTCCTAGGGACGGTAAAAATCTATGGTTGGAAACAATTGGTGACATGGCTCAAAGTCGTTCTCAGTGGCGCAGATGCATCCACTCCCTGTGACTTATGATCTTCAATGAAACTGTGTAGTATTTCTTTATTACTCCTTTTTCTCACACCTCTGCTCACTGTTTCTATTATGCTTTTCTTGTACTTTCTTCTCTTGCTTCGCGTGCTACACGGAATGTGGCGACTTGAACTTCCGCACATTTGTGCAAAGTTCTATGTCGAAAACAGACAGACAGACAGATCTCGCCCAGGATAATGACCACCAGATTCAACTCCAAAGGAAGAAAAGTGTCAGCAATACAATGCTATACACCCAAAAACAACGCAGACCTCGAAAAGAAAGTAGAGTTCTACAGACAACAACAGTGGACAATATTCCAGTTGGTGACATTAATAATATTAATGGGAGACATAAACGCAAAACTGGGACTAGACAGAACACAGGAATCTTACATTGTGTTTCTTGACAACATTTCCACTGTTAATTTTCGCTTGAATTTAACTTTCAGAGAAATCCACTCACAGACAACGTCACTGGAAATAGATGGATGCATTTGATACATGCAGAATTCTCAAAGGTTTAAGTCTAATGCAATTTAGTTTAAGTGCGTCAAAAAAAACGTTAACCAAAATTTAGAAATCATTAGGTTGTTTCTGATTCTTAAGGAACAGTAAAACCTGTTGATCAGATACTTAAGAAGTACGTGATCATTAGTGACCAGTGAGTTATGTAAAATTTTATTGAAACGATTCTTGAAGGTTATACCGTGTCGGAGATGTTACACCAACATTTGAATCAGTATGTGCTTGTCATCTTATCAATGATTCCGAATAATATCAGAAACTGGCACAGCATTATTTTCATGCTACTGGCTAACATTTCCGTTTAACGCTAAAAAAATGACTAATAACTGACCATGGAAACTTCTATAAGCTTTCTTGATCATTACTTGTCTTCTAAATGATTAGTAGTTCTAATTTATCTGAAGTTAACATCTATAACAGACAGGCACTTCCTAGCATAAGGCATTTTGTTTGAACGTTGTGTTTTCATCTTTTGGTATTGTGAGAATGCTAATTTATCGATTCAAAGCCATCACTGATTCAGTATGTATTAAATTTAGACAGGCTTTATTTGTTTAAGATTTGATAGTGTGAAATATTCCCATATTATGAATTAAAAGTCAATCTGAACGAAGAATATTCTTTTCAATGATTTCTCCTCTTCAGGTTCTTACAATTATAAAAGGCCAGTTATGCGGCGGATACATTTTTGACGTAGAATAACAGATTAGCAGTTATGGGGTGTCAAAATAAATAGTCATATTTGTGTGACAAACGTGCTAGTTGGATGAAATCGATTAGAAATATTGTAAAACGGGAGACAATGGTGGTGATTAATCACAATAGATTTCAGGATTTCATCATGAGCTGACATTAATTAGAGAACCATTGGAAAACCTGGGAGTACTAGACAGCTGTTTTGTCCTAGTTTGGGACTCTTCATCAGTAGAGTGTGGGGTAGGAAAATTGACAAGTAAGTCAGTTCAAGGTTATAAAAGGTGTCAGGTGAGTGGCTAGTACAAAGTGGTCTGAGTTAAACAGGAGATAGTGATACTGCAATGAGAGGTTCATAGTGAGATAACGAATGTGTGAAATGAAACAGATGGAGGCATATATTAAGAAAACAGGTAATATCACTAGTAATAAGTCCGTATAAATGAAAATTCAATATTATTGAGGGAATGTTTGCATAAAGGGCATAAATTATGACGAATAATAATAACTGTAATAATAATATTTATAACAATAAGCAAAGTAAAAAAAAAGAAAAAAAACCAAGAGGGTTAAGGGAAAGGAGCACTCTTGGTGAGAAGAAAAATCTTCAATTCAAGGTTGGCCACGGTAGGAACAGCGTCTGGACGTATTCTTTTTGGATACACAGTTCCAGTTTAGTCGATCTTATCGCAACAGCTTCAGCTATGTGTGTAGAAAAACGTAAGCGAACTGTACGTGATAACGACTTCGGAATTCGGTATATAACCTTGAAAGCTGTGTTGACGTCGATGCGATGTCCAGTATCGACCAGGTGTGACAGGATAGAGCTTTTTATGCACTTAATTTCCCCCTGCTGAACCAACCTGGTAAGTGTTCTCGAACCCGTAGACAAACCTGCCTAATCTTGCGCCCTGTATAACTTGAACCACAGAAACAGTTGAAATGGTATATGCATGAAGAAGAGCTAAGGTTAGGTAAGACATCTTTAAGTTGCTGGGTAAGCATTGGACGGCTAGTGAAGTTGTTGTGTCTACTTCATCCCACGTTATTTGTTTACTTGAAAAATGGTTTGCATTTACTGATTTTTAACCTTGTAGAATTCTTCCGACTTGCATTATGCAAGAGGGAACTGTGTAAGATTAATACACAGGTGATGAAATTATATTTATTATTATTCCTTTAGGTTCCGGGTGCAATACGGAGCTTTAGCGCATCGCCAATTCATCTATGTTCTCTGCGACACCTTTCAGTCTTCTCCACGATTTACCATAAGCTTCAATTTTCACCTGTTCACATGACATTCTGTATGTCAACCCTAGAAGCCAAACAGGTAGTTTTCCATTCAGGTTGCATTAGACGGTCTGTCTGGTGTGTGGGATATTGCTCAAAGGTCTTGTTAGCGTTTGTCTGCTCCTATTATTATTATTGTCTTGCGTTCCAAATGGAGCATAGGGCTTCAGCAAAACATTTCCACTTCGTTCTGCTTTCTGGCATCCTTTTCAGCTGGGTCCATGATTGACCAAACTCTCTCATATCTTCCTTACCCGATTTTCTCCATGTCACTCTCGCACTGACCACCTACTCGTTGCTTTCCATTGGGATTCCACTCGAGAGATGGCCTGGCGTGCAATGTCATTCGGTGTCCTCATCACTGTATACCCGATCCATCCATTTCCATTTATTACATATTTGCTGAGCGATCGGCTCTCGCCTGTCGGTTTGTTACCCATAGTTTCTTGTTGCTTACTCATTCTGGCTGTTTGGTCTTCACTATGGAGCCAGAGAATACAGGTGTTGATGAAAGTCTACAACCTGTTGGAAATCATTTTCGTGACACACAGTACACGTTTCTGACCCGTATAAGAAGAACCGACTTCACATTTGTGTTGAACAGAATTCGAATCTTGTTATTTATGTGGAAGATTTCCAAAATGGTTTCAGGTTGATGAAGGCATTTTCT